ATCTTTCACCGGTCACAGGTAACCTGTGACCTGTAACCTGTGACCTGTGACCTCTGACCTGTGACCTGTAACCTGTGACCTCTGACCTGTAACCTGTGACCTGTGACCTGTAACCTGTGACCTGTAACCTGTAACCTGTGACCTCTGACCTCTGACCTGTGACCTGTAACCTGTGACCTGTAACCTGTGACCTCTGACCTGTGACCTGTGCTGTCCCCAGGAGATGCTGAAGCTCTCCATCATCGACATGATCTTCACCGTGGCCAGCATCCTCCTCATCGACTTCATCCGAGGCCTGGTGGTCCGATATCTGAGTGACTGCTGCTGCTGGGATTTAGAGAGCAAGTTTGTAAGTTTCTCGTAAATCACCTTTAACATACTGGTCCCAGGACCTGGTCCAGACCAAAACCTGGTCCAGACTACGCTCCAGACTCATGTCTTCTTACTGGTTTTCTGTGGATAAARTCAGGCAGCTGATGGTTTGGAACACATGGTCACTTCCTGTTTTTCAGCCTGAATACGGAGAATTTAAGATAGCAGAGAACGTCCTGCACCTGATTTATAACCAAGGGATGATCTGGTGAGTCTCACTGTTTCCATCCCATAATAGGAGAAGAAGCCTGATGTTTGAGGACAACAAGGTTCCTCAGATGGAAGGCACCGTTTCTTCTGGACTTGACCTGGATCTGTGACAGTGTGTCTGACCTCTGACCCCGCTGACATCAGCCAGGGTTATTATAGTTCACTAAAACTAAATAATAATGAAAACTGAAATAAAAAAAATCATTTTAGTTAATGAAAATAAACAAAAACTGTAATAAAATGATAAAACAATAACTAACAAACTGTATAAACTTTTTACCAAACTAACTAAAACTAACTGAAATTATAGATAAAATATCCTCAGTTTTAGTGTTTGATTTATTTTGAGCCGTGTGCAGCTTTTTTTTATAAAGTTTACTGTAGCTCCATGCTGCTTCACTGTAAGAAACCCTCCAACATCTGAAACAATCTTTGTTTTCAGTCTCCTGAGTCTGTTTACTGCCGTTCACTCACATCTGACTCAGCTGACAGCCTGACAGCAGGGGACCGAACACATTAAACACTCAACTTGTGGCTCTGGGGCCTCATGTGGTTCACTGCAGCTTTCAACAAAAAATAAATAAAAAACTAGAAAATTATACAAATACAAGAAAAATCACATTTCTGTGATTTTATGTGCTAACAGTTCTTGTGTCATCCAGGTGATGACATCAGACCAGGTGATGACATCAGACCAGGTGATGAGATCAGACCAGGTGATGAGATCAGACCAGGTGATGAGATCAGACCAGGTGATGACATCAGACCAGGTGATGACATCAGACCAGGTGATGACATCAGACCAGGTGATGTAATCAGACCAGGTGATGAGATCAGACCAGGTGATGTAATCAGACCAGGTGATGACATCAGACCAGGTGATGACATCAGACCAGGTGATGAGATCAGACCAGGTGATGAGATCAGACCAGGTGATGACATCAGACCAGGTGATGACATCAGACCAGGTGATGACATCAGACCAGGTGATGACATCAGACCAGGTGATGACATCAGACCAGGTGATGACAT